TACACCAACAAACTGAGTAACATAGAAGAAATGGGTAAATTCCTAGAAACACATACAACCTACCAAAACAGAATCAAGATGAATCAGAAAGTCTGAAGAGACCAATGATGAATAAGCAGATTAAGCTTTTTAAAAACCTCCCCAAATAGAAAAGTCCACAACCAGACGGTTTCATTGGTGAATTCTACCAAACATTTAAAGGATTAATGCCAATCCTTCTCAAACTCTTCCAAAAAACTGGAAAGGAGGGAATCCTCCAAATTCATTTTATAAGGCCAGCATACCCTGATACCAAAGACAGACAACAATGCTACCAGAAAAAAAAATTACAGACCAATATCCCTGCAAAAATACTCAAAAAAATTCTGGCAAACCAAATTCAACAGAACATTAAAATGATCATACACACTATCAAGTGGAGATTTACTCCTGGGATACAAGGATAGTTTGACATAAGCAAATAAATGAAACGTAATACACTGCCTTGACAAAGAGAAGGATGAAAATCATAATTATCTCAATAGATGCAGAACTAAGATTTGACAAAATTCAGTATTCTGTGATAAAATGTGAAAACTAGTTGGGTATAGAAGGAACACACCTCAACACCAAAAAGGCATATATAAAAAGCTCCAAACACACCCAATAGTGAAAAACCTTAGGAAGAAGGCAAAGATGCCTACTCTCACTACCCCTATTCAACACAGCACTGAAATTCCTAGTCCTAATCAGAGGAATTAGGCAAGAAAAAGAAGTAAAAGGCATCCAAATCTGAAAAGAAGAAGAATATCTATTTGCAGATGACATGATCATATACGTAAAAAATTCTAAAGAGTCAACAGCAACAAAAACTATTAGAGCTGAAATGAACTCAACAAACTTGCAGGATATAAAATCAACATACAAAAATTGGTCCTGCGTCTAAACAAAAGCAAGGAACTACCTCAAAATGAAATTAAGAAAACAATCCCATGCTCGATTTCAATACAAAGAAGAAAATACTTAGTGATAAATAAACTTAACAGAAGATGTGAAAGACCTATAAACTGAAAAGTATAGATAACTGATGAGGGCTCACTGATAATGTGGAAAGACATCCATACTCATAGATTGGAGAACTTAATACTGTTTAAATACCCATATTGCCTAGAGTGCCCTACAGATTTAATACAATCCCTATTAAAATCCCAATGGAATCTTTACAGAAATAGAAAAATCAAAAAATGCATATGGAACCACAGTAGAGCCTGAATAGCCAAAACAATTTTGAACAAGAGCAAAGCTGGAGGCATCACATTTCCTGATTTCAAAATATATGACAAAGCTACAATAATCAAAATAATATAGTACTGGCATATAAACATATAGGTCAATGGACCCAAGAGCCCAGAAATAAATCCATCTATATAGTGTGATCATCAAGAAGTGTTCCAAAAACTCACAAAGGGTAGAGGATAGTCTCTAATAAACGGTGATGGGAAAACATGCTGAAAAGTGAAACTGGTCCCTTATATAACTTCATCTACAAAAATCAACTCTAAATGGATAAAAAAGACTAAAGACCTGAAAAACACAGGGATTCTGCTGCTGGGATCTATTTTGTGTCTTCAAAGCCTGGCATCCAGATGCATAGATCAGGGTTATGTTTAGTTTGTTGGGATGAGTTAACAAGCACCACTGATATTCTGGCACATACAAGGTGCTTCTATGACTGCTCACCTCTGAACATCAACCTCATCACCTACAAAGTGAAACAACAACGTATCCACATTGTTGGGGTTTTCATGGACTTGGCAAGCATGCCTGTGAAAGTACTCCTCACAGTGCCTGGCACACACTAGAAACTCAAGTGATGCAGTGATGATGCAAATTTGCATTTTCAGTGGAACCTGAAGAACATAGCTGGGCACTCAGATTGGCTCTGCTCTTCCTTCAACAGTTCAGGACACCAAGGGTTTTGGCTGTCAATATTTTGATCATGGGAAACATGCTGCATTCTAAAGGTGATCCTTTATAATTTTTCAGCCAGTCTATTGAAGTTCTATGCCATGTCTGCTCCACTGGGAGCCACCCAAGGGAGAAAACAGATTTCTCCCTCAGGAACTGTCCTTGGGTCTACTTTTCTCCTAGCAGAGTCCATCCAATAGGTCAGTCCTGCCGGCACATTCTGGAGAGAACTGGTCATGTCTGACCTCCAGGAGGAGAAGCTCTGGCCTACCACCCACCCCACTGAGGACAGGACTCCTGGGGGAGTCAGCCCCACTCTGCATCCAGCAACCGCAGAAGTGATATTCCCAGACCCATCCAGGTGAAAATGAGAAGACCTCTGACAATCACAGGGGAATGAAGGCCCCAGAGGAGAGACAGGATGAGGGCAAGCCACAGATGGTCAGAACAAACAAAAGTCAGTCCACACGGGAGAGACTTACAGCCACCAATACAGACCCATGTCCTCCTCCCAGACCAACATACACTCCACCCAGTCACTGTGATCTGTGCCACCATATTACAGCCCCACAGAGCTCCACACATCCTCAAACACACAAACTCTCTACATACCAGATGCCTGGTTGTATACCCAGAACCCTCATGCCCCAAATATACATATACCCCTCAGCCCCGATAAAATTACAGGTATGGTTGTGAATTAAAAAATGCACTCCCAGGGCACCTAGGTGGCCCAGGAAATTAAGTGTCCAACTCTGGCTCAGGTCATGATCCATCAGTCAGTGGGTTCAAGCTATAAGACGGACTCTGTGTTGACAACTCAGAGGCTGGACGTGCTTGGATTCTGTGTCTCCCCTTCTCTCTCTGCCTCTCATCCACCCACACTCTGCCTGTCTCTCTCTCTCAAAAATAAACATACATTAAAAAAATATTTTTTATTTAAAAAAATGCACTTCCATCCCCATATCCCACAAAAGTCCACTTGATCCCATTAAACCTCCAATGCAATGCACACAAACCCTCCAACAATAACTGAATACGTTAAAACCAAACTCACATACTTCTTAATATTACACACAATCCTCTAATCCCAAATATACCACATACAGTCCCCTACAGCCGTGAAAATCCACGTTTGCCTCCAAAGCTCAGACAAACACATAACTACCCTAAGAAAGACACAGACAGGTATTCCTACCTTCTCCTAGTCACTCCCCAAAACAAACATGATACCACCCTGATACAAACATACACCCGACTCCCTCTTGAGAACATATAAATGGCACGTCTACAACCCCAATTATACACATACAACTCACAATACCCCAATATACTAACAACCCTAATCTCCCAAATCCCTCCACTCCCTAAATTCTTACCCTGACAGGATAGATGAGTATGGGTATAAAATTGATACGGAAAACACACACAAAACCAACACATAAAGGATTAAAATGTATAACCATACCTCTTCCGAAATGAACATACACGTATTCACCATAGTCTCAAAATGCACAGAACCAGCCATACCACCCAGCCACGCACACACACCATTCCACACCAGCTATATACTCCCAGCTATCTTTGCCCCCAAATCACACATATACAATCCCTACACATCCTTTAAATTACCCCCAAACCATCCCATACCCCGAAGCATATACTCACAAGTTACTCCCACAACCTTGTGTCATGATCCATGTTGCTTCTCCCCGAATTACTTCCAAATACAAAACACACACACACACAACCATCCCCCCAACCCATCCCCACTCAAGGCCTTCAGAAAAAAAAAGGTAGTGATATACATATACATACCGCAGCCCCTTAAACCTCTCAAAATATGCATGAACCCTTCAAAATTCTTGAAACACACTCTGGACCCCTTACATATAGAGCTATACACACATGCAATTATTCATGTCCCAAATACACACGCACCCGATAATATATAAGCAATCCACAATCCTATACTGTATATATTTGAACACTCTCTAGGATTTCACTCATATGTGGAATTTAAAACAAAATAGATGAACATATGATTAGCGGAAAAAACACAGAGGGGGAGGCAAATCATAAGAGACTACTAGCAGTCACAGGAGCTGAGTCCAACCGAGGGGCAAGGGTAGAGGACCTCATCTCCTGACCTGCTCCCCCCTCCTCTCCCAAAAGAGTCAGGGCCTGCCTCCAGCCCTGTCCTGATTCCCAATCTCTCCCTGCTCTGTTCCTACTGCCCCACTGACCCTGTTCTGCCTTTCCCAGTGTCCACAGGCTATAGGCCTCCTCTCTTGGACCCGCGGCTCCTACGGCTCCTACAGCACACATCAGAGCAGCCTCCTTTGTAGGAGCCACTTGTAGGGTGTCCTCAGACCCACTCCTGTGTCGCTGCAGGGCCCTAGGCTCCCAAAACCCAGTGTGGATGAGAGGGTTCAGGTCCTTTATCCCCTCCAACTTCTGCGAAGTAGAAGGGGTGGGAACTCCTAATGGCCTGGCCAAAGGGGCCACTCAGTACAGAACGGAGGAGTCCTTCTGCCCATGGAGAGATGGGACAACACAGGGTATGTCCCATAATGTACACTCCAAAAGACCTAGTGGCTCCAGAACAGCCAGCTGTGACCAGACTCAGCCAGTCCAGCAATTTCCATTCATTCCACTTGAGTGGGGCACATTCAGTGCTGGTTTGAGAATCAAGGTACTCCTGTTCCTCTCCCCTAAATCTCAGGGTCTACGACTTCCCATACCAAATACAAAACAAATTAAACACACCCAAGAACGTCTACCTTGTGTATGTTATATCGTATTCTTTCTAAAACATGACATGTTTTAAAATACAAAAACAGGCAAAGTCCATTCTGCCAACAAAACACAATACAATTAATATACCCGGCTGTCACTTTATTGGGGATAGGTTACGAAGCAGGCAGTGAGAGCCACTAGGAATCCACTAGTACTAAGAGAGGCCGCTATTGGGACATTCAAGGAGGTGACATTGCCACCGTTTGTTGGATGGAGATTCGCCATGAGGGAGAAAAGGCCAGTAGGAGACTTACCATAAGGAAGGCCCAGAAAGGCTTGGATGGGTCCAAGGGAGGTGGGAGGCAGGAAGCAGCTTGGGGCCATACTGATCGAACCCTCTGGTGGGTCTGCAGCTCCATGTGGACTGAGAAAAAAAGAGCATCAGGTCATCCCATCAGAGAAACACGAGGCTGAGAGAAGCTTCCCAGTACTAGGAGGATCCAGAACCTTCAGAAAAGATAAGAGAGCATACCTATAGGGTTCTAGAACATCAGAGCCATACCTACCCAGGGAGGCACATCCAGGTCTCTCTGGGTCTCAGCCCCCAGACCTTCTGCAGGGACAAAGCCTCCCCACCACCAGCCTTGTCAGTTCACTGACCCCCAGCAGTCCTGCCTAGTGCTGAGGGCTCAGGTGTCCACTGAGATGGGTTGGTTGAGAACGAGTGACATGGCTGAACAGCATGATGGCCAACACCTCCCGCCCCCTGGGCAGCTGGTCTCGCATACACAGGGTTCTACGGACTTTCACCACCTGGAACCCAAGTGAAGGATGTCCTTGCCTACCGGCCATGCTCCGGAAGAGACAGCAATACCAGGACCTGCTCACTGACTTTCAGGGGGTTGCCTGGAAGAGCAGACCTTCTCACCTCCTGTCCAGGAATCCCCACAACTTTCTGAATGCTGCCCATCACACCAACAACACGTTTGTGAAGGTTCTGCACTGACAGCGATCGATGCCCACCAGGCCCATCCGCCTTGGGACCCAGATGCCAGGACCACAAATGCTGAAAGAGTGTCCAACTGCATAACAGAAACCCGTGGACCTATGGGCACGAGGAAAAGCTGGAAACCGCCAACACTTACAGGGAGTCTTTGGCCCTAAATAATGGGCCCACCTGATTAGGATTAATGCAACAGGACACCTGATTAGGTAGTAATGCAATGGGCCCACCTGATTAGGAGCAATGCAATGGTTCAGAATGACCAGGGTCGGTGCACACCCACAACGGCCCACAGCCCCGGATGCTCCACTCACAATTCACAGAGCCACTCTCCCCACACACTCAACGATGCCTGAATATGCCTGCTTCACGCATCCATCCATCCATCCATCCACACAAACAGACCAGTGGTGTGCTCACAACTGCTTAATAAAATGCCCTCAGAGAAAGGTGGGAGAGACTTCATTTGCGGTTTTTACCTAGTATTCGTAGTATGACTAATTTCAAGCTACCCACTTAACTGTCCCTAAACATCGTCCCACGTTTGAACAATCCCGTTCCAGCACACACCAACACTTCGCACTAAACCACATCCCAATGGCACAGAAAACATCCCCCAATGCCCTACACTACTCACAGACTCGCCCTCTACACACCAAAATACACACACAACTCCATTAGTCAAACAAACACACTTTGAACACTCCTAAAAACGTGATGCCTCAGGAACAACCGTGGAAAATCCCCGTAGCTGCTGAGGGATATGTACACAACTCTCGACAATCAGTAAAAGAAACACAACCATATAACAAACGGTCCTCCTACACTGCCCGAATATACACAACAGACACCTAAACTGAAACACACACACTTGTCCAAACATCGCCCACATGCACTTGCAGGTAATCCTTGCAAATCTGCCATTACTCACCCAAAACTCGAGTCAGGAGGGGGAAAATCACACGTACCATATTCCCCAAATCACAAACACCCAACCACCAACTCCCCGAGAAGGTATGCACTTCCCCCCACCCCACCCTCCACCCACCCTCACACACACGCTTGGCCGCTTTATCGCAAATACCCACAGCCGCACTGACCCGCCACACTCCCACCTAACAAGGTCCTCTGCCTCCCTCGCGGCCCCGCACCCTCAGGCGGGAACCAGCACGGTTCCCCGCCCCCGCCCCGGCCCCCTCCAGGGCCACGACCACCACGACCTCCGCCGGGACGCACGCCCAGACCCGCGGCCGCCCGGGACCCCGCCACCACCGACTCCCAAGAAGCCCCCTCAGACGCTCCGGGTCCGGGCGCCGGGACGCGGATCCCAGACCCGCGGGCCAGTCGGGACTCCACAGACGACGCCGACTGCCAAGAACCGGTCTCGGCCCCGCAGGGTTCACACCCGCACACCGCCAACCGCCTGACAAACTCGCACCTCAGCTCACCGTCGTGGCGGCAGTCACCGAGCCTCCACAACGCCAGCCGCCACACAAACTATGGTGAAAAC